ACTACTACTATTACTACTACTACTACTACTATTACTATTACTACTACTACTACTCGTACTAGTTCTGCTACTACTACTGCCTCTACTACTACTACTATCACTATTTCTAACACTACCACTACTACTACTTTTACTACTACTACTACTACTACTACTACTACTCGTACTAGTTCTGCTACTACTACTACTACTACTTCTGCTATTATTACGGCTACACTACTACTACTACTACTACTACTACTACTACTAGTACTACTATTACTACTAGTACTACTACTACTTCAACTAGTGCTACTACTACTACTAGTACTGCTACTTCTGCTAGTACTACTACTTCTACCACTATTACTGCCAGTATAATACTACTAATAGTATAACTACTACTACTACTACTTCTACTACTACTACCACTATTACTACTACTACTACTTCTACCGCTGCTACTACTACTACCACCACTACTTCTACTACTACTACTACTACTACTACTACTACTACTACTACTACTACTACCACTACCACTACTAGTACTTCTATTACTACTACTACTACTACTACTACTACTACTACTACTTCTACTACTACTACTACTACTACTGCTACTTCTACTACTACTACTACAACTACTACTACTGCCACTGCAATTACTACTACTAGGACTTCTACTATTACTACTACCACTATTACTACTACTGCTACTACTATTACTTTTACTACTACTACTACTACTACTACTACTACTACTACAACTACTACTACTGCCACTGCAACTACTACTACTAGGACTTCTACTATTACTACTACCACTATTACTACTACTGCTACTAGTGCTACTACTATTACTTTTACTACTATTACTGCCACTACTACTACTACTACTACTACTACTATTATTATTACTACTACTTCTACTGCTACTACTACTTCTACTACTTCTACTTCTACTTCTTGTACATCTTCTCTCACTGCTACTATTGCTCTCCCCACCGCAACTGATACTACTATTAGTTAATCTCTCTCTCTACCTTTTGTTAGATGATCGTCCGTGCGACGCATCAGTGGACTCATGTGGATGGAATATTGCTCGGGGTTGGAGAAGAAAGAAATTCAGAGATCTTGACAACAGTTATCTAAACGCAAACGTTGACATTGGTAGTGATGGTAATGACCAAGGTTGATTGTTTTGGCACATTGTGTTTTTTATCAACATTATTTTCTGCCCAGACCTCTGTCTCTTTTTTTCTTTTCGACTTTGCTCCGTTTTACTAACTAAACAGCTGGAACAGGCTTGATAGCCTTTTACGGAGATTGACGACTGAAGAAGGGTGCATTTGTAACGTGATGTTTCTGCCATAGGGATAATCGGCGATGAAAACTACGAGATCCAACTCTTCGACAGTAGCCGCGGCTATATCTCAGTCTCAGACATTCGACAGGCGAAAGGGGGATTCACCATCTGCTTTTGGTTAAAGACGTCAAATGTTGGTTTTTTTATCGAATATAGAACTGCTGCATCGGGAGATCGAAATGAAACGCTGATATTTGGGCTCTATTGTGGTAACAACACCTTTGATATTCTACTGAGAAACCAAGAAAGGTATCGAAAACTTTTTCTGTGGTTTATTTTTTGTTTTTTTTTGACAATGTGTTATAAAGTCATGACTTGAACCTGAGTTTGTCTCGGGATCCACATATATGACCCCCACCACTCGGGCGTTTGTGGATGGGTAACTGCGCGTTTTCCAAAGTCACAGCATTCACAGTTAACTTTCCAAAGTAGTTGCAGAGAAATCTCGAACGGTTATGTTATTTTTAAACATTTTAAATTAAAAGATGGTAGAGATATGATTCATTTTGGAAAAGAAAAATGGGAACTTTTGAGCTCGGTTATGAAGAATAGACGGTGTTTTTCTTGTTATGAGTGTTTCCTTCCACTCTTAGTGTAAAGCTCGTGGAAAGATGAATAAAATATTTCTGTATACATTTTTTTCTTTCTAAAAGATACTTGTCCTTCAATTAGAACTCTTTTGTTCATTATTTTTCATACACAGTCAATATTTAATGGGTGTGACAGATAACTCTTGGCATTACGTGTGTGTGCTATGGGATGGTACTATCGGAATACTAGCCGTATTCAAAGATGGTCACAGAAATTTTAAGGAAGCTCGCAGGAGGGCACCCAATTCTGAATATTGGAATAAAGGTAATGACTGCATAATTATTCTCGAAAGTGGAAAACAATTAAAGAACAAAAACCAAAGATAAAATAAAAACAAAAATATTCCAAGTTGATGTGGAAGGCGTTAGATATAAAGCATACTCTGATGCATATTACAAGTTCTTGAGCAGCAACCAAGTGGCAAAAGCTCGGAAGGTGGAGTGCTCTGGACTGTTGATTGCATTCCTGTGAGAGAAAAAAATGTTAAATTATTTTGAGCTACATTTAAAATAAATTCAAAGCAATTTGTATCTCGGATACCTGCAGGAACCATGACAGTTGGCTTCAGGAAAACGAACAACAGTAATTCAGCTGTTCTTGGCAAACTGAGTGGCCTCAATATATGGAGCTACCCTGTCTCAATCACTGAGATTCTGAGCATGTCATATGGCTGTGGAACTGAAGCAGGTGACTCCAAATCCTGGGAAACAGTCAGGGATAAGATAATTGGAGAAGTTGAGGTTAAAGACTCCAGAACATGCAAAGACAGAAAAGGTAAGTGTTCTGTAAAGAGCACAAATTATCTGAAAAGTTTAATTTTACCTTGTAATTAATAAGATGCTGTTAATCCTGTTAAATAAGTAAGGTATGTCTATTCGCTATGAAAGTGGTATGCGTTCTAACTTGCTTGTTTTCTCGTGTAGGAAGAAGAAAGATTCTAAGAAAAGTAAAGACGGAAGTTTTAAAAGTAGACGCGTGTTGAGTCACATAAAAAAACTTTTATTTTGATAATGCTGACAGTACGCCCCAATTTCCTTTTTCTTCATTTGGGGACGCACCAAGTATCAACTAGCCGTTTGGCTCGTTGTTTGTTCGAACATCAGTGGCTACTTTAGTCATAGGATCTTTACGAACTAATGAATGTTTATTACGTGCAGTACATCGTGCATAAATGTCGAAATATGGCGGGACAATTTTTACAGAGTTTGCGTACATCTAACACTAAGAAAATTGAAGAATGTGGTTACCCCTACTACGCGACTTTCGTTTGAAGGTTTTAATTCTTTTGGCATTCGTTCGGCAAGATCTAAGCTCTTTGTCTGTGAACAAACTTATGTTTACTAATGAATGAATATCATAAAGTTCTTTTTGTTGATAAACCTTGATATCTTCTCAGCTAGCAGACTTGTGGCAGAAGGCATTAGGGTCCACGTCAATCAAAGCGCTCTTTTTATGAGTCCTCTTTACGATGCATCGCGTGGTGGCCAGAGTCGATGTCTCAGGTTTCGTTACATGCTGCAAGGACCTGGGGAGAAAGCACTGACAGTTTACCGGAAGGCGAAAAAATATCGTGAAATACCTATTTGGATCTCAAAAGGCATCACCCGGGGGAACTGGGTTTATGGCCAGGTTCAACTCAGCTCTATTTCAGACTTTCAGGTAAAGAATTTTGCTTCTTCGCCTTTTCTTAGACTTTCTCAAACGAAGTAGACCTTACTTGTTCTTTCCTTTCGTCTATTGAACAAAACTATCAGCTTTTTTATGTTGGTACCGTAAGTTACATTCAAATAAACCGTCCATAAAACTATACGGACATATCGTTCACTTTTGGTAGAAATTTTTCTGAGTTGCCACGCGAACCTTAATCAATCATACTTATCCCATCCCCGCACCACCAACATTACGAGCACATTAATAAGGCCCTTCAGGTACCAGAAACTGCGATGAGATTGGTAAATAATTTCTGAAATTGTTTCATTACCGAGACAGGTGCTTATAAAAGCGGAAATGGGGAGTGGAGAAGACTTAATAGCGTTGACAGGGCTGTACATCGACGAGGGAAAAAATTGCAGAGTGACGCCATTGTCGGCGAAAAAAGGTGGAGTATAACAATGTGAAGACATACAAGAATTTTTCTAGGAAAGGGCGTCATTGCCACTAACCTTTAAAACACTTGTACTTTCGAAGCAATTGAAATTGTCATCGCGCAACTCCGGGATGATGCTGCCGCTGTTATTTGCGCTCATGAGGCACTGTACATGTACTTCGTGTCGAACGATAAAGACACCAGTCAGGTTGTAAAGGCAGACACTTCTTAACATTTTAGCTTTCATCTGTTGTTTCCCTTTCAGCTTGCAGCGAGAACTTAATCAACGAAACAGGATATTTCTTCTCTCCTTCATATCCTGGAAATCCTCCAGATGATACTTTTTGCAAATGGCACATCACCGTCCAGAAAAACCACATCATTCGTTTGGAATTCCAAGAGTTTTTACTCACGAACCACCCCACATGCGAGAGATGTTTCCTTCAAATCTTTGATGGACGTGATTTATCTGCGACCGCGATAGGAAAATTTTGCGGCTATATGCATCCTCCAGTTGTCATTTCTTCATCAAGCCATTTCACGATTGTTTTCCGTTGTCTTGAGGGTTTGCGAATGACAAGATTCAAGGCCTTTTATCATTCTATTAGAAGTATGCTATATCTCTATGATTTTAAATTTTGAAGATATATGGACCTGTTTTTTTATGTATAAACCTTAGTGAAATTCAATCAAAAGTTCTGGCATTAAAAGGTAAAAATCCAATCGATGACCAAATCAATGTAACTTGAGGTTGAAGTAGGCTTAATTGGTCTTCGGGTCACTTTCCTAAACATGAGGTGGAGATATTTTCTGTGAGATATGAAACTTTGTCAATTAGTTCGTGGTAGAGTATTTGATATAGGGCAGTATTCAATCATTCCTCCAACAAAGGTAAAATGCCAACTGAAATGCGTAGTGGAGTTTGACGATAATTGATTTTTCTCCCACTTCTCTGCATTAGAATTTAAGAGTGCTAAATTGAGGAAATTGTTTGTTTGTGAGAGAAATCATCACAATTTCCGAGTTTTCGATTCCACTATCGGGAAAAAAAGTTTTGAACCGTAATAGGAAGAATAAGAACAACGACTGCGAGAAAGCCATTAGGGCTAGTCGTAGCTAATGCCTTAATTGAAAATTGGTGGCTACATCTACGTTTTCCATTTTTCAGCTCAATATTGGGAAGGATCGTCTTGTTCACTTCATCGAGGTAATTGAATCTTCATCGATAAACTGACTTCTTGAAATCATTTTTTGCTTTCCAAATGATGAAGGGGTTGAAAGATGTGGGTAGATAGTAACTGAATGTCGAAAATCGTTTTTAGAGTGCCCATCAAGCTGCGAGTGTAAGGAGTTTGGTGAAGTATACGATAAGAGGATTCTGATTATTGGAGAAAAGTTGCTGGCTATACCGAGTAATCTTCCTCCAAATACTGGAGCAGTGTATGTTTAACCATTTCCCTGCTTATCATCATTATTACTACTCATTATGCTAACAATCACCAAGTCTTTCTGCCTACATACACAGAACAAAATAAAGAGATTTGGCATGATGTCTACGGCAACCGTCAAACGGCAAAAAGCAATATTGAACTCATTAGCTCCTTTTTCCAGCCTTTTGCATTCTGAGGTGGAAATATTTTAATGAGGAAGAATAGATTTATGTTCATAAAAGGTTATTAAACGAAAAAACGATCCTGCTGCTGTGTTCATTTCAGAGTTTGAGGAATTGAAGCTGTAAACGTCTTGCATAAACTCTCTACATTGCTTTTTCTTTCGATATTATTTAGTGAATTGTAGCCTGCTGATAAGGTTTCCTTTTTTAGTTACTTTAGTTCAAGTTTAGGTGATTCCTTATGAAGGCCATATTTTTTACCGCAGAGATGATGTGTCACTAATAATATCATATCTACCAGGGTTTTTCGCCAAAATCGGATCTCGCAACTTCACGAGAAGGAATTTTCAGACCTTACAATACTCGAGTATATGTGAGTTGACCGCCATATTCTCTGTTTTTATTAGCGGTAGTGTTAGGTTTTGCTTGAAATGCGAAAACTTTAAAGATGTCAAATAAATGTATGTATATTTGACCAACCCTCTGATTCTTCACGCTATCCTAGGGTTAGCTAAGACAAAAATAATGTATTTTACAGTGCACAATACGTATCTACGAAATTTATTCTGCAAGCACAATTAGAGTAGGACTGTCCAGGTTTCTGGCTGCATTCGATACCTTGAAAGATCTTCGACAACAAGTTGAATAATACTCCCCGAAAAACCATACATTTTAGAGATATCAAATTAATAAGTTACGTGTTCTCTTTGAAACAGTGACCTTAGCTTCAATAATCTACTCCACTTAGATGAAGAATGTTTTCACAACGTATCTTCTGTTACTACACTGTGAGTACTGGATGGCGATTATAGATTAATAAATATGAATAAATCATTCCAGAGAATCGTCAACAATATATTTGCTGGCGAACTTGTCATCTTTCTCACCTCAAATGTTATCAGGGCCGATAGGGACATTCCTCCCCATCTCTTCATTCGAACCATCATCCTGGAAGCATCTCAAACGACCAGATCAGGCTGGCGTGGTTGCTTGTGTGACTACGAGAAATAGATAGCCAGGGTAACGTAGTAAGCGTTTGGGAGAGGGCTGACGACGACATCTTC